CTAAAGTTAAAGGTGGGGTAGGTAAGTTTGAGAAACCGGCTCGAGATACACTTTTTGTTATATTCCATGGAATGCTCTTAACATCCCGATAGCATGTCAAGTGCTTTGACAAAAAATCCATAAAAAAATGTAATCTGTGGAAGCCGTAGTACTGTAAAAAGCACGACCAATCATTTTAGTAACTGGATAGCCTACCTGCGTGTCAGCCTTCCATCTGTGCACAAACTCATCTCGTGCCCTCATTGGTCATGTGCGCGTTTGTGTGTGTTGGAGGAGGGGCTCTGTAAGGAAGTGGCAGATTTTTTCCGGCTGTGTATTTTCAAATTCTAGCGCACTCGAGCTGGTTTCTCCAAAATGACCTACCCCACCTTTAAGGCCAAAAACATCCCAAACTAAAAAATATGTTCTGTGAAATGGTAAACCTAACCAGCTGCTGGTTCACTTTGACACAGCTGCGTTTCAAAATGACATGGGTATACTACAGAAATTAACAGTGTTCATACGGGGCATTAATGATGAAAAAGCCATTACATTGAAAACACATTAATCATAATATTCTGAATAAGACTCAGTTTGGTTCCCGTGGAAACATTCAAAACAACACAATCATTTTATTTTTAACAAATTCCTGAATAAATTCTACACTCAAACTTCCCTTGGCCAACTAAACTTCCCTGCAACCAGGGGTTTTGTGACTTAGGCCCCGGCTCCACGAGGACGGAAACTGGTTGAATCCGCATATTTCTCATGCGTATAGCCCTCTAAGCTCCACGACGCCGTAAGGGAAACGTAGAAACAGACCCCGCAAACGACAACGGGTCCAAAGGTGGATAGATCTGGGAACTGAGCGCTCTGGGGGGTCCAACGGGGCCGTGGAGTCGCCTATACGGTCATTCGTTTTCATAGCCCCGCCTCTCCCTGCCTCTCCCCCGCGGGGTTGCTATCGTGCTCCAGTCGCTACTGACCATGCTACAGTTCTTTGTGCAACATCTACAGGAGCTCCTCCTTGAATTCAGATTATTTATCTTTATCTCGATATGGACATAAACGCGAGTGAAGTCTAATCTGACAGGACGGAGACACGCAGCTCCTGCCGCTGTGATGCAGCGGGAGCAAAACACACACTTCAAGTCAGATCATCACCCTTAGCTATTTTAATTACCTCTCAAACTACCTAAACTAGTTATAAATATGTTCATTTTTACTGTCGGGTCACTCATTACAGGATCAGCTGCTGCATGAGACAGACACTGACGCTATGAGAAGAGAGGAAAAAGAGACAGGCTCTGTGTATTTGATGATTATATATCATTATATCGTCGTTATTCATTTGTTTTAAAGCTCAATAAATAACAATGAAGACCTTTGACCGGCACTTTTATAATTTTGTCCGGAAGATTTAAACTTTAACACACGCTGACCGGCGAAAAACTCTGCCCGGTTCTGTCGGCCCCCACCGCGGAGAATACACAGAAGTGCAGCCATGACAACCATTCTTCTTCGCTGCTTTTGTGGAGGAAGTTGCTGCTTTTGTGGAGGAAGTTACAGCGCCACGTACAGGTTCGGCATATGTACTGCAGCTTTTCCAGCGTTTGGATGTAAACGGAGCCGTCTCGTGGAGCTTGACACAATCCGGTGTATATTGCGTGGGGACGGAAGGTTTTTTGCGGTTGCATTTGCGTTACTCCGATGCGTTTTGCCGTATTTGTCCTCGTGGAGCCGGGGCCTTAAGTTGCAGCATCCCAAAGAAATGTACCTCAATAAGTTAAGGGTTACAACAATCAAATCTTAGTTAGTCATAATGCTGTTGGTATTTCAAAATCGTTAACCCTGGACTCTTCTTTTTTAGTGTGAATTCATACCCCTGTCTTTCTGAAAGCCGTTGTTACAAAAAAAGGATTGAAACGTGACTACGCTTGCACTGGGTTTTTTGGCTAGCATTCGGCTGTGTTTAGCACTCATATAAATCACGTAAGCATGTGAAATTGCATTGTGATTATAAAGCTTCTATGATGTGGAATATACATACACCGCATTATGATGTGTAAAGAATGTACAGCTGTCTACTTACTGGAGGTGTCGGTTTGATTGGGTTTGTTGACATTTGGTAGAGGAGGGGGGGAATTTCCTGGCAAATGCAAAACATTGTTAAGCATTGTTGAAATGATGAGAGGATAAAATAGACAGCAACTGAATCATCAGCAGTTTTTTAATTTAAATAATTTAAGCTTTTCTAACTGAATTTGAGTTATCAGGCAAACATGGCAAACATTAGTAAGATTTTTGGTTTCTTCTCTGTAATATATTTAATTTGAATATCCTTGGCTTTTGAACAGTTGATTGCTCAGAAACAGCAGAGACATTATCTTCTGCACATTTAAAATAATATATATATATTATTATTAAATTATTAAGTTATGAGCAGCGACCCCTCTGATGTTGTTGAGCCTTAGCAAGATGTTGGCTTTATAAGAACATTTAAATAAATAATGTCTGCTAAATCTGATTATGTGTCCACACTCACTTATCAGCTTCAATACTACCAATCAAAACCTCATCAATATTACCAATGTTATCAAATACAGTTACCTCTCTCGGTCACTCACACTCACTCACCCACACGCTCACAAGTTTGAAACCTTTGGAAGGATGTGAGATAACCATAGACGTACGTAGGCTATACGTAGTTCTCAGCAGTGTATCGTCATTGCGTTGCCACAAAGGACAATATGGGGGTAGTGGTAAGGGTGGGTGGAAGATATTTACAGTCATTTGTTGCTGAGCTTTCAATGTGAGAAAATAAGAACTGAATAAAGAAGAAGGGTAAGGAAGAAATTGCCCAACACGGCAATTCTCTTCTTTGAAATCAGGCAACCACAGAAAAAAACAGAGACCAACATGTCATTAACGTAGTTCCCTTAGAGGGGAACTCCACCGAAATTGAACATCAATGTCTGTTAACAGGTCTTGTGCAGTACTTCTGCAGATGAGAGGGGGAAGTTGATCAAAGTCTTTAGTGGCTCCCTAGAGAGCTGTGCAAAACCTGATAAATTGACTCATCACTTGAGGCAAAACTCAAAGGTGTTTTTATTTTTTACACTGTTCTTAAAGTGCTGTTGTACATTCATTCACTCTTAAATATGTGTTGTCACATTAAACTGCAGATCACAATTCTTACTATGCTATGTGATTAGCTCCGTTAGCTGTTGGTTCTGTTAGCCAAACTCTGATGTCAGCTAACTGCTAACTTTCCTCCAAGTGATTGTAGCGATAGTAACAACATGAGAAGACCGACTCTGTTGTTGTCAGCGTGTGGTTCACTTTTGGTGTGTGTGTGACCAACAGCTTTGGTAGCATGTTGTAAATGAAATTGTAAATGAAATGGTTTCTTTAAAACCACACAGGACATCCTGGATCTCTGACATTTATTGAAAGTATCTGCAGGCCTCTTTCCAGTGAACTGTTTTGTATATATATACATGCAGAGCTAGTGAAGATGAGGAGTATGATGAGGAATACGTTCAGCCACAGACTCATCCCTCCACAACACAGCACCAAGTGCCTCGGTCAGTCCTTTGTGCCTGTAGCTATCAGGGTGCACAACAAGGGGTCAATAATGTGAAACTATTACTAGACATAAATACACCCATGTTAATATATCTAATATGTAATATATGACTCTATATGTATATATGTCCATTTGAATTTTAATTCATGTCTTACCTATAGTTTATATGACCAAATATGTATGCTCATTTTAATTGTATTCATTTGTTATTTCATAGTTTCTCATTATTATTATTTTCATTTTTATTGCTGATCTTATTTTTGATTTTATTAATCTGTGTGAATCTGTGCTATCCTGTTTTTCACTCTTACCCTGTTGCTGTTTAAACAACTGAATTTCCCCACGGGGATTAATAAAGGTCAATTTTATTATTATTATTAATACATGTTACTTGTTAGACGCTTTTATCCAAAGCGACTTACATACTCTATACTGTGGACAAACCCCACAGGAGCAATTTGGGGTGAAGTGTCTTGCCCAGGGACACAACGACATGCTGACTGCAGTGGGGTTTGAACCTGTGACCCCCTGATCCGAACACATACGCACAACCCACTGCGCCACACGCCTCTTATCTTATCTTATCTTATATACCCTGTTACCAATCCACAGATTCAATTAGATAGTTTAGTTGTTCAAAAGCTCTTTATTCTCACACTCTCAGGGCACCTCAGTGCACAAGACAGTGGTCAAATTATTTGACAATAAAACTTGATTTATAATAAGAGTCGGATAGCAACTTGATGTTAGTTGTTCAAGCAGTGAACAACAAACTATAAACCCATAATAATCTAACAACCCCTAAAGTTAATCGGGTGACCATTAGGAAGCAGCTCAATCACTAATGTAGCTAGTGTACACAAACAACGCTTATGCCAGGCACATGAGTATTTTCACTTTGTTGTACTGATACCTGTACTTAAAGGTGGGGTAGGTAATTTTTGAGAAACCAGCTCGAGTGGGCTAGAATTTGAAAATACACAACCGGAAAAAATCTGCCACTTCCTTACAGAGCCCCTCCTCCAACACACATGAACGCGTACATGACCAATGAGGGCACGAGATAAGTTTGTGCACAGATGGAAGGCTGACAGGCAGGTAGGCCATCCAATCATTTTAGCCGGGCCGGCTAAAATGATTGGTCGTGCTTTTTACAGTACCACGGCTTCCACAGATTACATTTTTTTATGGATTTTTTGTCAAAGCACTTAAGATATTCATTGCTATCGGGATGTTAAGAGCATTCCATGGAATATAACAGAAAGTGTATCTCGAGCCGGTTTCTCAAACTTACCTACCCCACCTTTAAGTAAAGGATTTGAAAACGTTGACCATCATTGAGTTTACTGTAAATGTTAGTACACTTATAATGGTATTCTACCCGAGGGCGCTCTAACCAAACTGCAACTATTCTCAAGTATGCTACTAGTCATAAAGCCAGCAAAGTAGTTTATCTGATTTCATAGCAAAGTGAATAGAAATATTGAGAATATGCTTTCAATTCTCCTCTGACTGCACTGTTTTGGGGAAAGTCTCCAGTGAGGTATAAAAAACATGAAAGTCTTCACATTTACATTTACATCAGTCTTTTCAACGGCTGAAACTAAAACATGACAGGAAGTATCTCTTAGTGGGAAAAAGAGGCGCATTATGATCCACAAGGGGAATTCCCCCAACCCCCACACACTGCACGTTTTGACTGTTCTCAGCTTTGCAAAGCTATACAGGTGGAACAGATCTGAATTAACAAAGCATGACAAAAATAGACACAGAAAAACAGCATGAAAACGGTAAATATTTTCCTATGGCTCTCCAGCAGTTCAAAATCAATGGTATTGATTGTTACTACAATACTGTTCATATTGTATATTTCTCAGACACTTGTCACTTGCCCCATTCAAAAACGTTGCATATAGCACGATACAGTTTAAGAAAACATTAAAACATACATTTTAGAATGAAACAACAGAGGTTGATAATACAAAATACTATAACGTATTTAGTGAGGTATTTATCCAAGTAAAAACTACCTGTTATTATTTATCTATAAATTGATTAGGTATGGATGATCAACCCTGTATGGATTTATACAAATCTTTCAATCAAATTACAAGATCTAACCAATGAAAGTCAGATATATATACCATACTTCAGATTGTGAACGCTACAATAAATATACAGTAATAGATTTTCTGATGTATTCCTACCAATAATTCTTAAAAGTGATCAGTTTGCAACGATTCCTATGATGATTATCTGATCGTAAAAGTTCACAGTCAAGTATGCAGATTCATTTGAGTCCTCAGGGCTCCTCTGGATTCAGTTTGAGAGAAGACTGACTGTCATCCCCGCTTTCTTCCACTGGGCTCCGACACAATGAGTCACTTTCTGCAAACAAACATCAAAGTACAATTATTATAATTATACACAATAAATATACATATTCCTTATCTTTTAACAGTTATATGGCACATTGAAATCATGACACATGGTACAAAACACAAAGCCAGACATGTTTCTGGGGCAACATGATGTTAACCATTAAAAAATAACTAAAATGTGTTTCCTACAACAATGAAAAACATGAATTCTCGTTGTAACGATGTGTTTCAACTACTTTTACTTCACTTTTACTTGAGCATGCACAATGACCACAGACATGCTTTTTCAGTCAATGTTCTCAAATGACTCTACCCAAACTATTCTTTAAGTTCAGTATCGCATTACTTTGAATCCAGTGACATACTTGTTACTGCAGGTTTAGGATTAAAGCGCAGCTTGCAGGTCACAGCGGTCAGTACAAGCAATCCAATAATTCCAATTATGATGAGGACCATACCTAAAAAAGCAAGTGAAAGGTTACTTCATTTTTAGCTTATATGAGGTTGTGTTAGATAAAAAAGATAGCAACAAATGGTTTACCTGCACCAGCAAATGGATGTAAATGGGGCTCTTTGTCCCTTGTGTGTCCTGGAGGAGCTGTGGTGCTGATGCTGGAAGTGGTGGTCTTGATGTTAGTGGCAGTAGCTTTGTCCCCCCCATGGTGGGATGTTAATCTTGTGAGTAGAGAAACTCTTTCGTTTGATGTGGTGGGTGTAGTGTAACTGTCCACATTACATATGACATCTGAGTTCTTCTTTCCAGCAAACTTCACTCCTGATTTACATCTAGAATGAAGGATAAATTATGCAGCTGTCAACATCAATGTAGTTAACATTACTTATTTTTAAATAAAATGCGTGTAAAGATTTGAAACATTATAATACACGTACTCTTTCAATTTTTGACACTGTGAGTTGATACTTGAGCTGAAAAATCCCTCTTCACATTCTGAACATTCTGGTTGCTCTGGAGAAATAATACAGAAAACATGTAAAACATATCAAATATATTGGGGTTTTTTAGATTTGGAATGCAGTCTTGGATGAAATGTACCTCCACGTTTTAGTCCAAATCCCTTGTTACATTTGCAACTGGAATCATCATAGCGAACAAATCCCCTACTGCACTGACATTCAGTGTTTGTCTCTTTTGTGCACTTCTTTTTAAGAACACTTCCCGTCGCTACAAAAAAAGAAAATCAAACTTCATATATCACATGGAAACAAAAAATAAACTTTCTTGTTTAACAAAACTTTATCCACATTTATTAATTAATCAATTTATTGCAAAGTTGGTACTATTCCAAACTAATTTGAAATTATGAAGCCAAAGTATGTAAAATAATATAAAGTTTCACATTATTGTTTAGTTTTTTGTAAAATACATCATACCCAATCCTCTACACTTACTGTGATCACACGGTATACAAGGTTTGCAGTTTTGGGAAGTATTCTCTTCATCCTGATAGTTGCCATCCGGGCAGCTTTCACAAGACTCCCCTCTGCCAACTCTCTTTACTTTCCAACCTTTGAGTATTTCAAAAGCACACGAGGAATATGAGAAAGTTGTAAGCAAAAAAACATTAGTATATTCTATGGCATTATGCAGTCACAGTTTAGTAAGAAAGTCACACTTTACCTTTAGGGCAAATCTTGGCATCCAAATAAAAAATGAGTTCATAAAAAGTTAAAGTGAATATGAGCAGTTTGAGCAGGACCATGTTCAAAAGTTCACTGCCGGCAATTGCCGCTCTGTTTCCTGTGTGAAATACCACAGAGTGAGACAGAGACTACCGGGATATGGAAATCACCATATCTTATATAGACATGAAAAAAAACCACTTTTTTTTTTGAGACAGTATGACTCACATTTACACACTCTTATTAATTGATCCACAACTTTATTTTTTTCTTAAGCTGGAAACATTTAGGTTTGATGACATAAATATGAATTGTTACACATATACTGTAAGCTGAAAACTTTAGTGTATTTTATGTCTTTTTTATGACCTATTACTTTACATGAGAATTACAACAACAAAAAACATGGAAATAATAAGAATAATAAGTTACAGTATGCAAGTTAGCACGCATGCATTATTCATTCAGTGTTTTAGGATGTTAAATCAATAAAAAGTCTAAAACCAAAATATTTAATATTGCAGCATAAACTTGGGGAAAGCAAGCAATTAGACCTTGAGTTAAGTTTTTTTTTCACAATGTTATATTTAGTACTACATGTTTCAAAATATGTTTATGCGTATACAAACAATAAATTGCAAACGCAGTGATCTTAAATCACCAAAAATAGACGGATATGCATTTTAGCTACAACAATTTGTGACGTAATGTTTCCCCCAAAAAAATTCTTTTTGATGAGTCTGCCATGATAAAGGAAGGTTGTGTTTCTTTCTCTCAGACACTGTTACAAACTCCACTGTTGAATTATTCAGTAATTCCAACAGTCATGTATTTCAACATTCATGTATTTTTTACTTAACTTGAGCTAAAATGTACATTTAGATGATAATATCTTAATTGGATAGATAAATGAAATGAATAATTGTTATACACATAATTAGATGCAGTTCAAAGTAATTATCATTTTCCATATTCATCAGCCTGCTCCATTATAACATATTTTATAAAACTTAATGTTATTATCAAAACAGCCTCAGGGCTTTTTTGGCATTTTATGACCTTTATTTGGGCTATTTTTATAGTTTCAGAAAAAATAGGAAAATATGCAAGAAATCAGCGGTTTACATATCGGAAACTATGCAGCGTTACGTTATTTTGCCAGTAATAACATGACATAGTACCTTTGCACATGGAGTCAAAGAGCAGATGGAAAAATAACCACATATTCTTGATCATCTGCAAGATAAAACCACACCAATGCAAGCTCGCTTCTTCAAAACGGATGTTTAACATACACCTCCGGCAGTGAAATAAAAAAACGTTAGAGAAAACGTTTAAACAAGGCCATCAAAAAAATCTATATTGTTAGAATATTAACATAAAACCAATGAAACAAGTTGAAAAGGGGAAGTACCATGATTGAATGAATCTGGTTGAGCTGTTTAGCACAAAATGAAATTCTAGATTTTCCCAGATATTTGTCAGGAGAGAAGTGTTTGTCTCGACATGACAGGACTTTTACTTTTACTCTACTTGAAGGAGGGTTAGCGTCACTACTAGTTTACAGGAATCTTTCTCTTGAGAAAAAATTCTGCTCTGCCAGGCAGCTTCGAACGCAAACAAACTCCAAGGCAGGTTTCATAGCATGTAAGGTAAGTAGAACTTTACAAAGTGTTCTGGATCCTCAGCCCAGTATTTAATGTGCTCCTTGTAACGTTTGGACAACCCAAAGGTAGAAAAACAATAGAAGCTACAGCAAGGTGCTCAGAGGTGCTCAAAGACAACTACCCATTGTGACTATTCAGCACTACATGTTTCCGAATAAGCATATATCAATGAATCAAATACGTTTTCTGTTCTTTTATTTGTTCTTACAGAGCTGATTCGAACTCCTTACAGAAACTGGCAGGAGATGGGCAGGAGATATATGACTGATTCTATAATTTAGGGTGCATTTCACATCAACAAAACAGTACAAAGAAAGTGTTCTTTCTCAATAGAACAATCAGTGGTTCAAGTTAGTATATTCCTCAGTGTAACATATCCACTAGTTGCAAAGCTTAAACATTTTTATTTTTTTTTTTATTTGAAGGGAAAGGATGTTTTCACTACTCAGTTTGTCAACTATGTTACGGACAAACTTGATGTCATTACAATCCTTTGATTAAGTCCTGCACTTCAAGTAAAATCAAATTTGAAAGGCTCTTGAGTCTATTCTACCATATATCCAAAGATATTTTAAAGTTTAAAAAATAATTGTATTAAAGTTTTGTTTTTTCATGTGATATGTTCAGCACTGTCATTAAGGATAGGGATATTTTGTATTATAAAACTACCATACAGGTCATTTTGATAGTTTTAAGAGATATCATGTAAAACTCCAACCTGTGTAGATATACATTATACTATAAAGGATATCAGAAGCACTATTTTAGATATTTTAAATTTGAAAAAATGAGGTGCAACATAGTTGACAATGAAAGTCAAACATTTGACTGGACACATTATTAACCATCAGCACTATGTTCATTTCAAGGCAGAAGTGCAAAATTCCATTGATAATGATGTGTAATGACGTCTACATGTCATACAAATTGTCAACTAGGTTACCTGTCAACTAAGTTACTACAGTTATTACAGTACTGGGTAACTTAGTTGACAGGTAACCTAGTTGACAATTTCCCTATTTTGACCCATCATTTCAATGGTAGGCCTTGCCTGGATGATCACATGTCATTTTCTTGAACAGGTTAACATCACATTTGAACATATAATTGAATTAAAATCATTAAACAATTGTAAACCATAACAATGTACGTAACATTGTTGATGGTCAATTAATATACTCATTGACAATGTGCTATTATACATAAAATATTGTAAAAAATTAGAGGACAATCACCACAGTGTGTTCAAAATGTCTGCCAAAGAGGAACATGGCATCATGTGATGCTGGTGACATGGTATTGGGACAAACCATGTTTGAGTTAAAGGGGGGAGTTCTGTTAGTAACATAGTTGACAGAACTTTTGCGGACATTCATATATTAAGATATTTAAATTATTTAAAGGAGGAAATCAATGAAAAAGATGTTATTATTCTTTAGTATTTAGACTTATGAAATAAATGAATAATTTTTTTTATTTACTTTAATGGTTTTTATTCATTATTTTGAATCCAAGACACCCTCAACTGAAAAACGGACAGAGCAAAAACTGACAATTTAAGAACATCATGACACATTTCAAGCTAAATAAAGCATAGGATGCACATAATGTTTGTGTGATATTATAACATGCTTTCCAATAATAGGCAAAATATGATATTTTTGAAGAAAATAGTTAGAATAATTATAATTATCATCAATGGACATGGAATGTACCCTAAATTGTAGAATCACTCATATATAGCATATATGCTGCATCACCAGACACTGTGGACTACCAAGTAGGACCTTGTCTGGTGCAACAAAACTAACTGGAGATTAAGATGTCAATCCAGCCCTGTCTGTATAACACAATCTTGAAAAGGGGTTCAGGTTATGTTGGCGGACCGTCTGTTTGTAGGGGCTTTAATAAAGAAAGTACTAGATGCTTTCTCATGGGCCTACTCCTTTGCTATGTCGAATTCATTTGATCTTTGCAGACACACAAAAACAGAAGGAGGTTATTATGTTGTGCCTGTGGCGGGAATTTATTTATCAAATGTGGATAGAGAATCAAACCATTCAGCTGTCTTTGTTGTTTTTTTATTTCTTGCAAGAAAGATCAGTCAGTCATACAGAGAGCATACAGTCTACAGAGTGAAAGACGAAGAATAGAGTTTGGGTTGCATATTTAAACACAGAGAGAGGAGAAATGGAGGGGTAGAGCTTGGTGATAACAAAGGAGCATTCTGGAAGTTAGGGAGGTAGGGAGGTAGGGAGGCCATATCAGGAAGTTCTCAGTTCAACTGAGTTGAATGTCATACTGTTGGTGCACAAAGAGTGGAACTAACATCATTGCAACACATTTTCTTAACAATGAATTTCCCCAAGCTTAGCTACGAAGTGTGAGAAGTAGTAAATATAGATAGAAACATTAGCAAATAAGAATCACACTGATATTATTAAAGTAAGTAAGTGAGTATAATATGTTTCTATTACAGTGCCCTGCCCCTTGATTTGAAAAGGTTTTACAGAGCTTAAAATTGACATTAAGACATGAGACTAAGAAAATTGTACATGAGCCAGCTTCACTGAACTGGTTCCACTTGTTAGCGAACATATTCAGGTGTACATGAAGTGGTTTCATGTTTACCGGAAGATAAATTATTATGGGCTCAGAACAGTCTCATAATACACACATGCACACAGAAGGATTCACACTTGTATTTCATGATCCGCAAAAGGATTCACACTTGTATTTCCGGATCCACACTTGTGTTTTTCAATGCGCACACAAATGTGTTCCGTTTCGTATACATGTAAATAAAATCCAAATACAGAAAAAAGTTTTACATATGTATTTTTGATCCTCACATATTTGTTTTCCGTATAAATCCTCTGAACCTGCAAACACAAACCGCTTTCTGTGCATGGATCGCTGTGCATTCATGTGTGGGTTTTTTGAGACTCCCCTGACGGTGACCCGATTCGTACTTGTAATTTTTTCTATCTATAGCCAATCAGATGTCTCCTCAATTCTAAGCCAATCACATGAGCGCGTCCCCACGAGGGTATGATTTATTGCGTTCCATGACACTTCATATACGCATTTTGCGCTGTCCGGAGCAGGGTTTCCGCGGACAGAATTTATTTTACCGGACAAATTTGAAACTTACCGGTCATGTTTCAATAATAATAATAAGAAGAAGAAGAATTGTGTAGCAGAGTTTCCGTTAGCAGGTAATTACCGGACTATGACCGGATATGGCTAATAACACGGGAGTAACGGATCCCCTCTTTTCCTCTCTCCCTCCCTCTGTCCTGCTGACAGCCCGTCAGTTTCTCATGCAGCTCGCTAAAACTTCACTCGCATTTATGTCCATATCGATCAGATCCAGCTCTCCTGATCGGCCTTTATAGAGAGCACCGATCAAACTATTAAGAGTGAATATCGGCCGATAATGACCGGCGGGGCTCCCCCCG